ATCCACACAGTTAAATGCCTTTGCATGGTCAATAAAGTACATCTAAACATCTCTCTGGTATTCTCTGATTTCAGCCAAGATCAGCCTGACATCAGCAATGATATTCCTAGTTTCACATTCCCTTTTTAATCCAGCTTGAATTTCTTGCAGCTCCCTGTCAATATACTGTTGCAACTGTTTTTAAATTACCTTCAGCAGAATTTTATTTGCATGTGATATTAATGATATTGTTTGATGATTTCCACATTCTATTGGGTCACCTCTCTTTGGAATGGACACAAATATGGATCTCTTCCAATCAGTTAGCTAGCTAGCTGTCTTCCAAATTTCTTGGCATATACAAGTAAACGCCTCTACTACTGCATCAGTTTTTTTGAAATATTTCAATTCATATTCCATCAATTCATTGAACCCTGCATTTTGAAAATGCCTTTAATGCAGCTTGGACTTCTTCCTTCAATCAGTTCTTGATCGTTTGCTCTGTCTATTCATTGATTGAACATCAACAAATGACTTTTAGTACAGCGATCATGTATTCCTTTCAACTTCTTTTGATGTTTCCTATACCATGTAGCATTTTGCCCATAGATACATGCAATTTTCTTCAGATCTTTCAATTTTCAAAATGCTGAGTGTGTTCTTCTCTTTTGGTTTCCTGATTCTGTGTCTTTGCAGATTTCATTATAGTTGACTTTATCTTCTCTAGCTGTCCTTTGAAATTTTCATTTCAGCTCTTTTAGATGATCATTTCTTCCTTTCATTTTACTTTCTGTACACTTAAGGAGCTCTGGTAGCGTAGTGGTTACGAATCGGGCTGCGAACCTTAAGGTCAGCGGTTCGAAACTACCAGCCGCTCCACGGGAGAAAGATGAGGCTTTCTACTCCCGTAAAGATTTACACCCTCGGAAACCCTATACAGGGTCGCTATGGGTCGGAACCGACTTGATGGCACATAACAACAACAACAACACTTAAGAGCAAGTTTCAGTGTCTTTTGAGATCCGTTTTAGTCTTTTCTCTTTCCTGTCCTTTGTTTTCTTCATGCAGGATGTTCTTGATGCCATCTCACAACTCTTCTGGGTTTTGGTCATTAGTGTCTAATGCATCAAACCTGTTCTTGGATTGTCTATAAATCCAGGTGGAACCTATTAGAGGTCACAAATTGGCTCTTGTGGATTTGTTTTCATTTTCTTCAGCTCCAACCTGAATTCACTTATGAGCAATTGATAGTTTGTTCCATAATCTGCCCCTAGCCTTGTTGTATGACGCTTCTCCATAGTCACTTCCCAAATGTGTAGTCAGTGTGATTCCTATGAATTCTGTGTGGTCAAGTCCACATTCATATTAACCTTGTAGCACTGTGGGTTAATATGCTGGATTGCAAAGTCAGTTTGAACTGCAAGGTCGGTGGTTCAAGCTCACCAGCTGCTCCTCAGAAACCCTATGCAGGGTTGCTATGGGAACTCTACATTACTTAACAACAACAAAAACAGCATGCTGTTGAAAAAAGGGATTTACAAGGAATAAGTCATTTTTTTTTTTTTTTTGCAACATTCTGTTACGTGATCTCTACCATACTGTCTATTACCAAGACCTTATTTTCTAATTACTGGTCCTTCCTCATTGTTTCCAACTTTTGTATTGTAATCAACAGTTATTATAAACACATCTTAATTGCATGTTTGTTCAATTTCACACAGAAGTTGGCTATTGTTGCTGAGTGCCATCGAGTCAGTTCTGACTCATAGTGACCTTGTATTGGGTGTCCTAGGAGCGGTTGGTGAGCTTGAACTGCTAACCTTTCGGTTCAATCAGAATTATTCAGTTTCATCATAACTAGTTCAATGGTTGGTGTGTAACTTTAAATAATGTTGTTGTTGTTAGGTGTCATCGATTCGGTACCGATTCATAGCGACCCAATGTACAACAGAACGAAATACTGCCCGGTCTTGGGCCAATCTCACAATTGTTGCCATGCTTGAGCTCATTGATGCTGCCACTCTGCCGATCCATCTTGTTGTGGGTATTTAAAATACCCATGGCAAAGCTTCCAGCCTCACAGTAACACACAAGCCACACAGTATAACAAATTGAGTTCTCTAGAAGCTTAAAATGTTCTGTCACCTCAAATAACTGAATCCTTTATAAGTTTTCCTTTCCTTTTTCAATGTGCAAGTAATTTGTAGCATATTAAAAGTCACTTCCTAATGAGTGAGAGCAGACTTTATGTGAAGAATTAAATTATTCCAAGTAAAGGTTAGTGGTAAAGGTGACAATTCTCTCTGATTGGAATGTGGATAATGAAGGATACTCCTTGTATAAGCTGGATAGAAGAAATCAGCTTGTGTTAGGACAGGGACATCTGGAAGTTGTTCCCAGGTAACAAGTGTTAGAAGACAGAAACATTGTAGAAGAATTTGGGTGTGTGTAAAAAAGTAATGTAGGCAGGTCTTTTCTCTTCCTTTCATGAATATTTATTCCAGTCTCTTCTCTTTAAATCTTTACAAGAGTGTTGACATTTTCTTAACATAAATGCAGCATATTGCCTATCAAATATAATCATAAATATTGTTCTCTTTGCAAATAAAATGTTAATTCATTTAAAAATGTTCCATTGAGTTATCACAAGGAGCTCTGGTAGCATAGTGGTTACGAATCAGGCTGTGAACCGCAAAGTCAGCAGTTCGAAACTACCAGCGGTTCTACGGGAGAAAGTTGAGGCATTCTGCTCCCGTAAAGATTTACAGCCTCGGAAACCCTGTGCAGGGTCGCTATGAGTCGGAACCGACTCCACGGCACTTAACAACAACAACAACATTGAGTTATCACTGTCATCTATAAGAGTATAAATTAGTTATCTAATTGTTTTTTAGTGATTTTCTGACCTCTTAATATTTATAAATGATTTTTAGCAACAATTATGAGGTTGACCCAGGATCAGACAGTGTTTCATTCTGTTGTGCATAGATAGGGTCTCTATGAGTCGGTACCAACTCGATGGCACCTAACAACAATAACTATGATTAGTAACTCTGTGACTTTCAGAAGTTTCAGTTTTGTGTGCATACTGTTTTCTAATGTAGCATATGTTGCTGAGATGATCAAGTACCAATATACTTAGGAATTTGCGTGGTATATAGTAAGTTACATGATACAATTTGTTATAACAATTAATGTTATTTTATTAATATAATTGTTTTTTATCACTATTTTGCTAGGCATATAGCTATCCATAATTTCCTTTTTGCTATCTTATTGCATATGCCACCACTTTTAGGAGTCAATAAAGGAATGCTGAGACATTCATCTAGTCTTTGAACTAATTGGAAGTGGTTATGTACCATGGAGTCAGTCCTGACTCACAGCAACCCTGCACAGGGTTTTTGAGGCTGTGAATCTGTACAGGAGCAGAAAACCCCATGTTTCTCCTGAGGAGCAACTGGTAGATTGAACTGCTGATCTTGTAGTTAGCAGGCCAGCTTGTAATCCGCTACACTGCAAGAGCTCCATGAACTAATTAGCAATATCTTACACTACACTGGAGATGTTTATATTCTATCCAAACAGTAATGTAAAATGTCCTCTGTGTTTGAATGGGGTAGCTATGTCCTACTCAAGGAAGAGGTCTAGGGTGGAAATGCATGTGTGAGGTCACGAGAATGATGATGGGTTGGTACATTCAGGTTGGATCAGATTGTGAAGGCAATAGTGTCAATATGCTTGTCTGAAATTCATGGAAGAGGTTGAGGGTGGAGATATACATTTGGATTTCAGTAGCACAACGAGAAGATATAAATCTATGAAGCTAAATGAGTTTACAAAACTGTTGAGCATGAGTAGAGAATAGATCAGGTTCCATTATGACAGATAAGGAATTGAAGAGAAATTAGACAAAAAAGTAGAGAAGGAGTGATCAGGGAGATCAGTGGTATCCTTGAACATAAACTCCACGGAATCTAGAGGAATCAGCTCAGTCATATATTACTAGTTGGTCAAGAAGAAAATGTATATTGGATTTAGAAATGTACTCAACACTTGTGACTTCTATGGAATACATTTTGGTAGAATCATGGGGGCAATTGTTTTATTGGAATGATTTCAGGAAAGAATGTGAGAAGAGGGACTTGAGGTAATAAGTTATTGTTGTTAAGTGCCATTGAGCCAGTTCTAACCCAGAGCAATCCTGTGTAGGGTTTCTGAGGATTAGCTGGTGAGCTTGAGCTACCAGCCTTGCAGTTCAAACTGACTTTGCAGTCCAGCGCATTAACCCATAGCGCCATACCCTGGACAGATTTTTTTGGAATTTTGTTATGAAAAGAAAGAGGAAAATGAAGGAATTTTTACAGAGGACAGTGAGCTCAACAGAGATTTCATTTTAGTTAGATTTGGGTTGTTTTATTTTAATCCAGTTTTAAAGATTTTCTGATAAAGATATTTTCATTTTTTTTCAGATTATGACATTCACATTTTTAGGGTTAAAAAATGACATATTCACTTGCTTAATGATAATAACTTGTTGGAAGAGAAAAATACATTGGAGGCATTTAGAAATTGTTCTGATAATAAAATAAATTCTGCATTGTGCTCGTTAGGCCAGTTCATGTTTACTCTTCCCATCACCAATGTGTAATCTTTGGAATCTTCTAGTAAGGTCAGCTTTGCTCTCCATTTGCTGATTGAATCCAGAATAGAACTTCCCATTAGAAATATACTTAAATGCTTATATAGCCTAGAATCAAATATTTTGAAGGTATTGCTGCAGTTTGCCTTTTTTGTTGTTTTTAACATGCTCATTTAAAAATGAGAAGTCAGAACACTGAAGTAATGTGAATTGAAACTCTGCTTTGATGGATAAGGCACTAAAAAACATCTTCTTTATAGACTATTTGATTTTGAACATTCCTGAGTCAATATTTCATCAATCTGAAACTGTCATAGAATGAGTGGATCTTCACTCCTGGATTATCTTGTGAATTGTCTTCTTTTCCCCCCCACAATAGCTTTGTGTCAACATGACCAATGAGAAGATACACCACTATATCAATGAAGTGCTTTTTCTACAAGAGCAAACAGACTGTGTACAAGAGGGAGTTACCATGGAAACAGCATATTCTCCTGGTAACGAGACTGGAGTTTTGGATTTTTTTTTCCAGGTATTCATACAATATAATTGGATACTTTACAAGATGCATGCATTTAAATATACTGGAAAAAAATAATATTTCTTTCCAGTGGCCTTACTTTGATATATATTGTGAGTTATCTTTCTGTGTGAGATTTTGCCAAGTATTTGTAATCTTTCAAACTTTTGAGGATCACAAGTTATCGTTTTCTGAAGGGTCATTTGAAGAAACACTAATTTACTGAAAGAACAATTAGTATTGGATCATGTTGTTTTCAAAATATTCATCATTGCTTCTGTCCCTAAAACACTCCATTTGACTTGTTTACAAATGTTCAGGGTACAAAATTAACATTTTATAAAATAATTTCTAAAACCAAAGAAACTGTAAAGCACATTAATAAGGATATTTTATCATTAAACATTTTAAATGTAAATGAATTGCAAAAAAAACAGATTGATACATGTTCAGATATAAAATCTTTGGTTAAAATTAAGAGTCTTGAGATATCTTGGAGATGTTATACACATGTTTATTGAAATGAAAGTCTTTGTCTCTATATCTGTATCACATAGATAACCCTGTCTTCTAATATAAGAATACATTTTATGAATTTACTTACAATACCTTTAAAATGATTAAACGTTGTTTAAAATGGATAGTATTCAGCTATTTCATTTCATACCTTCTGTTTTTGTAAATGTAGACTTACAAGTTACTTCCTTTTAGATCTTTTCCTAATACTGTAAAGTACATTTTGTTCCTGTTACCAAATTGCCAACATTCTTTCTTTAATTACTTACAAAAGCCCTCTACTTCCAGTAAGCCCTTCTTCATCAAGATAAAATGAGTGTGTACTTTACCTATTTAAGGTTACAGAAATGTCTGTAAACTGAGAGCAATGGATATTTAAATAGATCTAGAAATCCTCAGGTACTTACTAATCTCATTGACTCCACAAGAGCAGTCCCCATAAATGAAGTTGCTTCTACCTCTTTGGTTAAGATCCTGGAAGTTTTAATTAATGATTAATCAGGGATAATATTGGAAGCACTGGACTGGGAACCACAAGGTCAGCAGTTCACAACCCCCAGCTGCTCCTCGGAAACTCCATACAGGGTCACTGTGAGGTGAAACTGACTCAATGGTACTTAACAACAACAACAACAATATTTGAAGAATTATTTCAGCTGTAGTACGCTGGTCCTTTAACAGGAGTCCTGGTGTGGTGCTGTGGGGTAAGCACTGGACTGCTAACTTCATGATCAGTGGTTCAACAAGCACTTCTTGGAATACCTATACAGGTTCTCTATAAATTGGAATGACGTGATGTCACTTATCATAATATAGCTCTGGTCAGTATTCATTGGAAATAAGAGGAAACATTCATTGGAAACATTTCTCCCTGCCGCTTCTCTTTGGCAATCATAAAAATAGGATTAAAAGATGTATCACATACAGGGTAAAACTTGTCTTTTTAAAAGTAAAAATGGAGATCTGTATATCAGGCAGAAGAAACACCTGGTGATCTACTGAAAACTCAGCCATTGAAAACCCTATGGAACACGGTTCTACTCTGGCACACACGGGTCACCATGAGTCAGAACCAACTTGATATCGCCTGATTTTACGTACCAGCTAAGTGTGTAGCCTACAATACAAAGAAAAGGTATTTCTTCTTTTCTTTTGTTGTTGTTGTCAGGTGCCATCGAGTCGGAACCGACTCATAGCAACCCCATGTACAGCAGAATGAGACAATGTCCAATCCTGGGCCAACCTCATTACCGCCGCCACACTTGACGCCATCAATGATGTCACCTGGCTGATCCATCTCTTTGGGGGTCTTCCTCTTTTTCTCTGACCCTCCACCTTACCCA